TACCATCCGAGATGCTTGACCTCGTCGAATGGTAGAGCTAGAGAATTCTCTATGAACTCAAGTACCCCCTCATTCCAAAGAAATGCGCAGTGCTCATAATGTCTGCTAGACTACAAAACGTGAAATAACAAAATGTGAAACCGAATGCCAATACGAATAGATAATATTAGGTTGTTACATTATAAATGTCGCACAGATTTACTTTCCCACTGGGCAGCTTTTAATTTTTTTAAAGTACTTGTCTTTTTATTCGAAAAAGGATATCAAAGTGTTGGCCACACTATATATACTACTATTTGGCCATATCAATTTTCTTGATTGCTTTTTCCTTCGAACCATGACTACCTGCAATTCGAGAGTGCACGTGAATTTCTACGTCATATTGGGGAGCTTAATCCAGGTGATACGTTCAGGACAGACCGTGAACAAAAAGCGACCTACACTGAACCGTGAACTGACTCTGCGAGAAAGAGAAACAATGATTTTTGAGCCCAACTCACAATGAAAAAGCAGCATATTCGGAAAAAAATTGCCAGCGAAAGTGCGAGACCGAAGTGTAGGCCATTTTGCAAAGGAGAAACGATCCCGAGATAACAATTCTGACTTTGGGAGTTCAAGTTTGCCTGCGCACAGCTGCTACAATTCTCGAGAAGGACGTCGAGTCTTTGCGTGAGGAATGGCGAAGCCTGACACAATAAGGTAGTATCCATCTCTTGTCCTGAGATGCAAACTGTTGCTGTTCCAACAAATTTTAGGTTCATCCAAAAATGACATTTATAATGCAACAACCTAATAATATACAGAGAGAAATTTCCCCTCTTTTAAATCACTATGGCGAGCCGTAAGACAAAGCATAATCGAGAAGAACCGCTTCAGTAGATTCTAAATAATTTCTAGACACTAAGCTTTGTAGAATTTTTAAACATTTAATTTTGTACCACCTAGATACGAGAAAAAAGGGCGAATTATGTGATGTGGGATAATTTTCGGTGAACGAGACGATTACGGTATGAGTTATAACAAACCTCTGAACATCCTTGATTCCCAAGTAAAACTCGTAGTTGCCCATATGTGCCTTCGCCCACATCAACAAGTATAGCTGATAATGAACTGGCCTCCAAAAGGTAGCTGCTAACGTGCTCGGTATTTGGATGAACCGCCGAGGACGTCCCCAAGAAAGAAACTCGTGGGTATTCGCCTTCAGAGGAAGAAGACGCGCGCAACTGCCTCGCTTCTGAAATTACATGAGACGGCTTTCGAGAATCTCTAGAGCGCCAAGCATCGCCCTAGTGAACAACATTTGAAAGGGGGGAAGAAGGGTCAATGTAAAACTGCTCATCAAAAACCATACTCCTTCTCATCTATTAATTTTTATGAAGGAGCCTTGCAAATTTACAAGCAAAATGCAGCGAGCGAGGCTGTTTTCAAGCGAGACAAAAATGATTAACATGCATGTTCCCAGAATTCACTTCACAGGGTGGGCAAAATTACTGGTGCACTAAATTTTCAATGGCATTTTGACAATAATTCTCACAAATCAATTCTAATTATCAATATTATTTACTACAAACATGACAATACAAAAAATGTTAATGCTTCTCAAAATGATCTCCTTTAGCCTTCACACAGTCCTTCAGACGTTCGACAAATGCTTCGCATGTGGCACGCAGGTACTGGTCATCGATTTCGTCCCAAGATTTTGAAAGCGCCGCCTTAAGAGAGTCCAAGTTTGGATGTCTGGTAGAACACGCTTTGCTCTCCAAGATGGACCACACAGAGTAATCCATCGGGTTTAGATCAGGAGAACTGGAGGGCCATTCGTCGTGTCTGATGAAGTCGGGCAGGTGCTCGGCGCACCACTCCTGGACCATCTTTGCTTTGTGTGCTGGAGCAGAATCCTGCTGGAAGCACCAGTAGGCTTCTCCGAAATGGGAGTTGGCCCACGGCTTGAGAACTTCCTCCAGGATATTTTTGTAAACCTCTGCGTTGATTTTTACACCAGCTTCAACGAAAACAAGTGGGGTCTTCCCCCGTAGAGGTGACTCCTCCCCAAACAAGAATGGACTGGGGGTGTTTCGCTCTTTCCTGGAGTCTTGCCTTGGTGGTAGCATCAGCAAGTGATCCTGCAATAATCCTCTCATTTTGGGAGTTGAAGGCTGGATTCAGAGTAAAAATCTTTTCATCACTGAAAACGATGTCTCGGGCGCGTGCCACCGTGAATCGCTGCAGCAACTTCTTGCATCTCTCCAATCTCCTTTTCTTCATAATGTCCGTCAGGAGTTGGCATTTCTGCAAGCGATAGGGGAACTTCCTTAGCTTACTTCTGACAATCCTCCTCATTGACCTCGCGCTTACTCCAACGTCTTTCGCCATCTGGCGCATCGATCTCCTGGCGTTCCTTCGAATTCTTTCTCTGACGAGCCTCACATTTCTCCGACTCGTAGCTGTTGTGGGACGTCCTCTTCCTTCCCTGTCCTCTTCGGTCTTCAGTTCTTTATAGCGTCGTACTGTATTCTGAACCGTCCTTCGAGGTACGGAAAGGATCTTCACAATTTCTCTTGTTTGCTTGCCGTCGTTGTGAAGTTTGATGATCGCGCTCCGTAGGTCAGAACGACGGACCATTTTGTATTCGAGTACGTAGGAATTACGCAACCTCCAGGCAACATATCACAAGCGAGTGAAACAGGAAAATCTCCAAGAAGTGTTAAAAAATTCAAAACGTATAGGTGCACCAGTAATTTTGCCCCACCCTGTAATTGTGTAAGCACAAATAATTATTAGGTTCATGAAGATGATATTTAAGGATGCATCAGAGGCTATGAAAACCTACAGGAATAAGAAGGAGTAAGGACATACCTTCATGAAGATCCCCTATCAACTTCTGCGCTGCGTCCGTGAAATTTGAAGCTGTGTCACGCAAGGTCAGCAATGATGGGTTCTTCTCCATTTCCTGAGCCTTGTTAATAAACCAGAAAGAATATGCACATGACAGAAACAAGAGATAAATGTAATACAAAGAAAATCTTATGATCAAAAATGATGAGCACCTCCCATCCTCATCCAGAACCGCTGCAAAGGTGCTGCCTTGATGTATACTCCATCATGTACAGCAAGTTCACTCCCTTGTGTGACAAGGCCGGTCCAACCCAACGGATGTAACTGTGGGAACAAATCTGGACAAATTTTGTTGAGCAAGCGATGATTTCTGAATAGTTATACAGTGCAGAACAGCAGGTTCATAAAAAAGTGAACATCCAATTATTGAAAATAAAAAATTTAGGAGATACCTGAAAATGCTCTCAATTCCTGGCACAAACGGACAAGATTCGTTCACAACGACATGACTACATTTCTCTCCTAGACTAGCAACAAATTTTGCGTAAGATGGTAATTGAATGACGCTCTGATCGCTCAGGTGGACGGCGTAGTCAATGTGGGAGGATCCGGTCATAAAATCCTGAACAAGGCCTTATAACATCAAAGATCAAAACGTACGCATAACAAGAGCGAATCAGAAGACTTCGCCAAAAAGGTTTCTCTTGCATTGTTTTCTTCCATCTAGGAAGCCTCCCTCGCATATTTATATGTAGTGCCTTCCAATATTTTCAAACCATGAAGTTTGAGAATCCAAAGCATTTAAAAATCTCCATCTAATTTTCTTCAGATTTTTTTGATCGAAGGAATTTAATGCATGAGGAACCCTTCGGGCCAAAATTTCCGACCGCTACCGTGACAAAGAATAAAGAGTTAGTTTTATTCAGAAAACCCTGACAAGATCACCTTGGACCCTAAAATTTTACTACGTTCCATCCAAGAATTCAAATGCAACCGATCATAGATAGATCATAGATATCAATGGTACAAAAAAAAGCTTTTTTGCAGATGAGACCTGCAAAAAACGTTATGTCTTCCCTGAACCAAGAAAGCATACCTGCAAAACTGAGTTTTCATATAAAGCCTTGATGTGAGCTTCACCCGAGCATTCAAACACGAGAGCTCTGGATTTTTCTTCCTACAAAAAGGAGGGGAGTAAAATTCAACAGGAACTAAAAATAAAACTATTCTTATGAAAAGTCATGAACTACTAAAAATCGGAATCGTGTGTAATGAGTTTTATGGAATTCCCTTGTCGAAACGATCTTACCTTAGGAGCCTCGTCTGAGAACACATCAGTAGGCCGTATCTTCCGCCCATCAGGGAGCTCTACGGTGTCACCATTTTTGAGCTTCCCTATGAGAGGTCCTTTAGGAACCTGCCAACATTGTAATAAGTGACGAGATGCGAAAAAAAGAGTACTGTAAGCTACCTTATGTGCAATCAGCTTCAGTGGATCAATCCTTCTTGGAGGTGTTTTCAACTCAATAAGATATGCCACATTCAAAGAGTCCGCCTTAAATGCAATGATAAGAGAGCTAACTCAAAATTGTTGAAATTTTTCAGTCCCTAGTACGGAAGCAATGGTTCTGATGAACAGGCAAGGTTTAATCACTGCATCTTATGACTTCTAAAATTTAATAAATTTCAAGAAGCGAACAAAATATTCTCATAAAAGACGCACCTTGCTATCTGAGTCATGAAGAGGAGCACTCAACGGCAGATACGTTACTCTTAGTGCGGCGTCCTCATAACTTTCCAAGGTATAAGGTCTTTCTTCAACCTAAACAAAGTGGAAATATCAGCCGAAAAAAATGCTGGCGTAATAATATTGCGCACCTGGGAGGGGTACTTTGTTGAACCATAGTCAGAATCTTGAAATGGTCGAATACATTCGAGGAAATGCTTCACGTTCATAGCACCATGTAAACGTGTAGGTAAGCAGTTGGTCTCCTTTGATAGCAAAATTGACGATATACCAGCAATGTTATCCCATGTTGCTGAAAACCAAATTCTATCCATAACGAAATAACTAGCAGCTGAATAAAAGTATACGTTACAGAAGTTCACTTTAATTGTCAACTACAGAAAAGAGATGTAAAACTAAGTAATTTCAATACAGAAGTTTGCTATTACAAAGCACAGGAGCCCATTCACGAGATCAGCTTAACAGATCTATGTTTCGTAACCTATTAAAACCTTAGTCTGCTTCTGTGAAGGACCAAAAAGAAAAAGGAAGATGTAGTGATAGGAATAGGTCAGTAAAGAAGTGGTTCGTTTCGCCTCTACCTCAGACGAACCACTGTCTGCCGTCACTCCCTTGAGGCTCCTCAGTGAGGTAGGAGTGACGACAAAAGCACTAGTATAGTACAAAGTCCGGAGGAAAGGTGGCTAGCGAAGGAGAGAAAATCGAATGCTAACAAGGGATGGATCAGATTCGAAACTTTGACTTCGAACACAGGCACCAAATCGAATGCTAACAAGTGTAGATCTGATCGAGAACTTTGACTCCCCCCAATCGACATAGCGATAATCACCAGACCGGTGCATGTAATAGGCTTAGCCCACCCGACGGGATCAATCTTATTTTTCGCGTTGCGCACACGATAAGAAATAAAGCTCCCAAAAATAAAGGTTTAATAAGAAAGCTGGCAGCGTTTATCGTTAAGCATAGATATCCAAAAAAAACTCAAGCTCCACACATATGTTTGAGAGCCCCGCAGTAAACATGATGTTTTGTGGCTACGCAATGCCCTCTACATAGTACTGTAACAGTACGCTACTGCGCACCTTCTAGTTTTTTTTTTTTTTTTTTGCATAACAGCATTCCCAATTCACAAACAAACGGAAGCCCATAGCTGAAAACTATCTTATCATCGGCATGTTCCGTAATTAATTGACCGCTTTGCAGAATGCTTGTCATGCTTATCCAGGTAGTGCGCAAATCCTATACATGCAGCAAATTGATAATGCCTCGCAAACCAATGAACTGAACCAATCCATTCTGTGCAAACATGATCTGGAATATAAGACAACCAACATCTTTGTAATGAATATGTCATTCACATTGAGTGACTTCATGCGCAGTTGCGGAAGAAATCGTGAAGCGCCCTCTGGACAATTGAATAGGTACGTTTTCAACGGAGTCCGAATCGCGACGCACTGACGTAAATGACATGATCCATTCCCTAGAATCTGAAAAGAAAACTAGAAAAGCTAAGTGAATAAAATCGCTGAATCACAAAAGCTCAAGAGAAAGAGAAGTGCACTTTAGCGATGGCTACGAATCCAAAATGGACGCATTAATCCGGTTTTCGAACTATACCTATATTCCTCAATAGAAGCTGTGAACAAGGAACATAATTATATTTCCTATTTTTATAATTGCTTTGAAATATTTATAATAATAATAACTGGGTTTGAAATCATCTACTTATAATTATGTTCATATTATAATTATATTTACATTATAGTTAAATTTATATTATAATTACAATTATCTCCAAAACCAAATGAAGAAAAAAAACGTTAAACAATAAATACACTTCCACTACTTCTTTCCCTTGAAAGTGGCTTCTGGCATTTGGATTAAGCTTCATTTACCAACAAATTTGGTCGCGATGAAAATATATTTTACACATTCTATGGAAAATGAAAAAAATGAGAGGAAGATAAACGACACCTCAATAGACACATGAGCGGGGATATTAGCGATCGTACTGGCTGGTGACTCAAATGCCTCACGACGCTTCTGCTGTGCATTATTCATTGAAATATTCAAGTTAGCGATAGATGAGCTAAGCTCTCGCGCCCTGGAAACAGTATGTTGATTTCTGTAAAATTGACAATCTTCAGTTAGACTTACAATGCTAAACTAACTTGATGTGGGATAAAGAGTGTCTCCTTAAGATTTGTCTATTTCTGATGATCTTCTTCTCAATTTCGGCCAGAAATTCGTTATCAAATGTTGCAGCGTCCTTCTTCTCACTTCCCAAGAGAGACGAAGTAAATACAGTACGAGTAGAAGGATTGAAGTCGACACTGAAATTGCTCACATTAAAAATGGGAAGTAGAGAATAATCTTGCCATGAAAATCTCCTTTTTTCACAACACGTCAAATACCAGAAATGGAGAGCAAAAACAGCGTTCTTTCGCCAAGGGCCACTTATGCTAGCTCTGTGGCACAGTTAATGAACAAAAGCAGCATACTCACCATTTACTATAGAACACTATGAATGAGCGTAGTCTCGAGGATGCTTTCATCGATACATCACTAAAACTTGCAAATTTTATGTGATAATGATTCATAATCATATGAGATGGCAATCCAACAACAGTGGAGTCATTCTTGAAGGACTTTTACGATCACTAGTCTACTGCACATTCCGACTTGAATTCGCTAGGTTTAAGAATCTAACAAGCACTAAAATGCGACCGAAAATCTGCCGCAATTCTCAAAAAACACGCCGCTTCGGAGTCAGCTATGCCTTCAAGGCGGAGTTTACAATTAAAGGGCAGCCATTAGAAACCAAATTAGAGGTGGACAATGTTGCCGAGATAAAATAAAAACACGAGAAAAGGCCCAGAACCCGAGAAATAGGAACTCTTCTTTGCCTGTTGATTTCCGCACGATGCGACTCTCATCGGTGCTGCCCTCTTCAACGCTAACCCTCTCTATACTGAATCGGTAGAGACCTGCGGCGTGCGGTTGTCCACTCGATGGGCGTGTTGCACTGGGTACCGCCGTGCATATTGCCTTGCTAGATCGCCGGGCATTTCCTTCGCTGGGAACTGCGTGTTGGTCCGCACCCCTGAGGATCCGCCTGACTTACCACTAGACAACTTCCCCTTCTTTACCCTTCTTCTCCCTAGCGTTAGTCCCGCGCAGTCGCAGGGTCCGCTGTCTTTATCAGTCGTCGCCACTTCGCTCTGTCTAGGGCATCTTCCTGCTTTTTCCCCTTCTTTAACCACTAGACCTTATCGTGAAAGCCTCCTTCAAAGTAGGGTGCCAGCGACGCATCATTTCGTGGTTAAAACCAAGAGAATTTCGTGAAATGCCTGTACAAAGCTAGCGCGCAATTGACAAGGATGAATTTAAAACGTGAACTTGTGCATCAAAACTCCTGTCTTTCTGTCTCTGCCGAAAGGAGAAGGATCTGCTTCATCAAGTTGAAAGATGGAACGGATTCTCTGCCGGAGTATCACCAAATTCTTAGATGAAAGACGATTACTGCACGATGTTCAACATGGTTTCCGTCATCGCAAATCTACCACTTCTGCCTTGCTATCCACAATTCCCCATTGGCAGAGAGAGGTGGATCGGGGGAACTACATAATCCGTTTGCTTCGTTGACTATGCCAAGGCGTTTGACTCGATTTCCATACCTTTACTATTGAAGAAGCTTATGGCTTATGGTATTGGAGGTCAGCTGCTCCAGTTCCTCAGGTCCTTCTTGTTTGACAGGACTCAAACAGTAGTTATAAATGGTGTGGCATCTTACTCGTATTCCACTCCTAGCGGTGTCCCTCAGGGAACTTGCCTGGGACCCTTGCTGTTTATTGTCTACATTAATGATTTGGTTGAATCTCTTCCAGCCGGCGTTTTTTGCAGCATGTACGCTGATGACTCAAAAGTCTATACTATAAACGATTGCGGGAAGCTACAAACAGCCATAAACATCATTGACAGATGGTCAAGCCTCTGGAAACTCGAAATTTCCGTTACAAAAACAGCAATCATGGGTATTGGGAAAAACCATCCAAATGTCACCTTCTCCTTGTCTGGGAACCAACTTATGCGAATTAACGAAGTGCGAGATTTAGGTGTTGTCTATAACGATAAACTTGGCTTTGACAGCTATATACATGGTATTGTATCAAGTGCAAATTCAAGGGCTAACTTCATTCTTAGATCATTTAGGACGCGTGATCCTCTTCTCCTATTTCGGCTTTTCGTCCTTTACGTCAGACCTATACTCGAGTATTGCTCGCCCATATGGTCGCCGCATAAAAAGTCGCTAATCGACGAGATCGAAAAAGTCCAAAGAAGTTTTACGTACCGGTGCTTCATTCGTAAAGGTATCAGCTCGCTTTCTTATGAGCAGCGTCTTCGGAAACTTGGGACCGATTCATTAGAATTCAGGCGTACTGTATTCGACTATGGGCTACTTTATAAAATGACAACAGGAGAGACTTCCTTGAAATTATGCGACCTATTTGAAATCCCGCCTACCATTGGTGTCACTAGGGGTCACTCTCACCGTGTACGACCATATAAGCCTAACACGTCGGCCTTTCGAGGAATCATTCCTTGTGCGAGTAGTTAATCTTTGGAACAGCTTAGAACCTGACTTTTTCAGATGGAAGCACGCCTCTTTGTTCCAGAGTCATCTTGCCTATTATCTCAAAAGTCCCACTAATTCTGCGCCCAACGAAAGTCTTCAACTGTCTTCCAGTAAGGTTGATCGATAAGTTCATGCTATGATTTCATAGTTAGCTCAAATTTTGCTAGAACTATTCCCAACTAATACATTTTTTTTAAGGACGAGAAGCGATAGCTCATGTTCATTCTTGTTCCCGGGACTTTGTTTAAGCCTCTGATTAATGCTGCCTTTTTTTGTGACCCAATGTACTTGGGAAAATTGTTCTGATCAATTATAAGCTGCTGCTGTATCCTCTTCTTTGAATGCCCTTCTCTTCGTGGTTCACTCTGTTTCTGTTATTTGCACTGTTGGTTCTCTTTTCTGCCTTGCCCCCCCCCTTTCGACCCTCGACCTACTGCCGCTGTGGCACGTGGACTTCAGCAAAGTTGGCGGACCTACTACGATGGTATCCGGAGTTCTCATTGCGCCCGTGAGAACTTGCAGTGTTGGCGGCCCACTGCCCTTCTGAGCTGTCCTGTCACTCCACTGCTCGGCGGCTACCCCCCCCCTCTATCCCTTTTGCTTATCCAACTTGCTCGCGCTACGACTATTTTGAATACATGTGATGCTCAAATGTTCATTGTATGAAATTTTTCTTTCGTTCCTTATCATATTGAGTTTTATATGTAGACGAGCCACCTTGTTACAAACGATGGAACCTCGATAGTAATAATAAAAAATAAAATAAAAAATAGAATAAATAAAATAAATTTTAGCGGCACATTGCGGTCGGTCGTGCGACAGCAACGACCGTTAGGCCGACGTCCTAGTTTGCAAATCGAGGCTAGATCCGAGCGTTGCGCCAGCGAATCGAACGTTGCACCAGCGAATCAAACTTCGCACGAAACGAATCGACCGATGCACCAGCGAGTCGAACCATGTACCAGCGAGTCCAACATGTTCCAGAGCGACTCAATAGTGCGAACCGACACGTTCAAAAGGAAGCACCGCTATCCTTCAAACAGTAGTCCCAACCGTGACAGTGGCCTCTTTTCAAAGTGGTGGGCACTTTGTTGGGAGGGGGGGTTTTTCTTTTGGGTCCCGCCACTATTGAGTCGCTAGCACATAGCTAGACTAGCTGGTGCATCGGTCGATTCGCTGGCGCAACGCTCAGATCCAGCGATTCGCTCGACTCGCAAACTAAGACAATCCGGCCTTAGGCCGGACGCATAGTCGGTCGGACGACAGCAACGACTGCAAGTGTCGCACAGTATTGGGTGCGTATCGATCTGCGGCACTTGCAGTCGTTGCTGTCGTCCGACTGCTGCTGTCGGACGACAGCAACGACTGCAAGTGTCGCAGATCAATACGCAGCTACTATTCCACACTACAGTGGGACTTTCGAAATACGATCACGCGCAGTCACGTGTTGTCTGGGTTTGCATTGGGTGACCGCGTCGCCTTCCATTTGCGACCGCGGTTTATGCGACACCTGCAGTCGTTGCTGTCGTCCGACAGCAGCAGTCGTTGCTGTCGTCCGACCGACTATGCGTCCGGCCTTAGTGCGCATAAAATCGCATGGTACGACCATGGGGAGGCGACGCCGTCGCCCGATGCAAACCCAGGCAATACATGACACGCGTCATGGTATCCCGAAATTCCGATTGTAGTGTGGGATGGTAGCTCTGTATTGACGTGCGACAGTTCCGATCGTTGCTGTCGGACGACCGACTATGCAGGCGCCCATAGTTACGCAAAGGTTTTCAGAACCTTACTAAATTTTCAGATTATTCAGTCTTTACTTTTACTGGAGTAAGCAGTAAAGTAAAAATAACAGCAATAATGTTAAGAAATCCCTACCTAGTGTGAGATGTGAGATAATAGTGTTTTTTATTAAAGCAGTTGATACAGATAAAGTTACTAGTAAAGTAGAAAAGGTTTCTGCAGCGCGTGTTAACCAGTTTTTTTGGGGCCGCAAAGGGTTCCTTGACTTGGTTGCGCAACATTCCAAACACCTTCTCCTGTTTAATCTCTCGAACTTTAAGATTCTTCTTCTCCACCCGTCAGAGGGGACGGGCGTGCATGGGAGTGATACTGGAATGTTAAAACGCTTAATCCACAGTGATTCGACCACTTCCAATTTGGAGTCACTTATTCAAAGGGATAGTGAACATGCACTCCAGCTTCCGCGCGTGTAATTCGAATCGCCCGACTCCTTCCCCCCCCCCCCCACTCCCACTGGCTATACTCCATCCACACTTACGGGTCTTCATTTTCTACAAATGTTTTCACTAGTATTTCATTGAGAGGGTGCAAAGAAACAGTGCAATTCTTCATCGGAAGCCCCTTACCCCCAACTAGCGTTGTACACTTGTTCTGCTACTTTGCAGTATTTGGTTAAAAGAAACCTACTTTGGGACAAGTTGGAGCGCTTCCCGTTAGATAAGTCGCGGCGAAAAGAGTCAAAACCTATGCCGTAGTCAATGTGTTAATGCTAAATTTCGGCCTGAATTCAAACACCGAAGAATGACCTTCCAACAAACGACTGTTGCTGCCATACAATTCAGTCAACCCTATAGGGAAACGAACTCTCTTCTGATGAATGAAACATGAAAAGGACTACGCACTCTAGTGAGATGACGGAACAAAATTCAATTTCTAAACAAAACACAAGAGAAAATCGTTAACAGGTTGAATGCCTCTCATATCTATTTAGCGTTGAAAAGAAATGTCACTACTAATTAATCATTACATAAGAAACTTCTCTGTATTTGAATATCGATATTCAAGGAGTAACACCACACAATAATAACATGGATTAGCAATTTCAGAATTGATTCATTTTCGTCGTCCAACTGGTTGACAACCGCATCTGAGCTATTTGCTCTCAACTAATAAAAAGAAAACCTTCCTAATCAATGAAACTTTGGATAAATCTATAATAACTACTGTTTCCTAAATACAACACACGATCTATCATTAACACAACAACAGTAAACAAAAGAAGCGGCCCAAGAGCACGGAAACAGTCGACAAGTTGATGAGGATAACAACTCTATCAGGGAAACAAGTATACGTGAGGGGAAAGAAGCTGATTTGCAAAGATCAGCAGAAACAGTCATCATATGATGAGGACGGGAAAGCATCTCGAGAGCATCATGTGTCAGTAACAAAACAATCACACCGAAAATGATAACGACCCATCATAAACAGAATCGTATAACTACAAAAAGGCACTAAGATCCACGGAACGCCTGTGCGATTCTAATTCTTTAAAATTGAATGAACTAATTGCAAAATCAAACAAGACCGTCCGGGTGATTGCGAGACTTCTGCAGAGAAATGAAGAAAGTTGCACATGATACGACTTGGCCAGACCAACTAGATATCGGAAAATTGTGCTCTAGAAAGCTGAATTACGTATAAAGCATGCAAGTACACAGGCATTCCGCAACACTCAGTGGATTCTCTCTTAAGACATATTTGGAAGTGCAGATGGTAGACCAAAAGGCATCGTAGAGTGACTGTCGTGCAAACCAGGCTCCGCGTGACTCTTGGGAGGAGGTAAATTCCTAGGGTCATCAAGAGCCTCCGGCTGAAAAGAAGAAAATAATTAGATAGATATTTCGCTTGTTTGCATAGCAACAGGGAAAAATTGACAACGACAATAACATATTGATTGTAAGTCTCTAAGGAGGGATGGAAAAAGCTAATAAGTAGATTAGGAGGTAGAGATGTGACAGCTCCCAGCAAAAACAGTCGAACGGCAAAGTCTGGGTTGAAAACTTCTAAGCAATCAAGACCTCTTTTAATGGGCGAAAGAGAGCCTGGTTCAAAGAAGCTCTCAGTCGCTCAGTCAAAATGAGCAGAAGCTCAACTGA